CACCCCCTGGGATGGTGTCACCCGGTGTTGTCCGCATTCCCACCACCCACCTCCCACCCCCCGCCCCATCTACACCACTTTTCAACTCAACACTACGCAGTTTTCTAAAAATCTTTTTTTTTTTTTTTACAAAGGTTGGAGCAACACACACACACAAACTTTTCTACAGCTACAATTTTCAAAATTAATTTCAACTGTATTCATGTTTAACTTACCGAGTAAAACAAGAGCTATGTTCCACATAGACAGCATATATTGAACTTAACTTGTAAGACAATTGTACTAAACTATAATAAACCGTAAAATTAGCTGCTTGTTTTTCCTTATTCTATTTGACAATTATCATGTGTGTCACTTTATGTGTGTGTATCTTTATTTCTTTCCATTCGTGAAGACTTGACTGATCTGTAAACTCAACTTGCAAAGTTTTTTTTTATTGAAATTTAAAATTAAACGCATATAACAAACAACATTCCTTAATGTAATAAACACTCTAAAACTTCATATTGCTAAATCTGTTAAGGACGCTAAATCTTTGACTACTGCTTCCTACCGTGAAAGACGAGAAATATTTGACACAGATGTGGGTGATCACATTGATTTTTGAAGCTGTTGTTCGTTTGTTTGTTGTTTTTGTTTTTTGTTGTTGTTGTTTCTTGCTTATTTGATTTTTTGTATTTGCTTTGTTGTTGTTATTTTTTTGTGTTTTGGGGTGTTTTTGTTGTTTATTGTGTGTGTGTGTGTGTGTGTGTGTGTTTTACGTGGGTGTTGGGCAAATGATCTAAAATCTTAAATATAACCTTATTTTTTCGGTAGCAAAGTTTGCGAACATATAGATTGGACACAAAAGTGAAAGATATCAGTTGTTGGTGGACTTATTGTTGTTCGTCTGTCAAATGGCAAACACATTATACATTGATTGATGTCTGAATAGTATCACTTATTTTCTCAAATAAATGATTTGAAGAGATTTTGGAATCATGCGGTTTGATGACCGAGTCATGCTCCTAAATTATTATAAAGACCAAACACACAGCATGTGTTAAGCATATTACGAAGGTCGCGTCCAAGGTTGATCAAAGATGTCCAAAAACATATTCTCTGAACGGCGTAGATCAGGAATAGTCAGATAATACTAGCACAATTATAACATAAAACCAACAGAAAATATTACAATGAACAATGTATGCGTTCTGTTAAATTGATTACATTCCATGAAGATGATAGCTAACATTTCTACCATAATCTCCATCACATCCTGCTGTCAAAGGTATTCTCCCATTGCAGCAGACGCAAATGCTTCACAAACTTGACCTATAGATGACAGTGACAGTTGTTGGTGGGGTTTACCTCAAAACCAAATTTAGAGACTCCAGAAGGTACAAAAGACTGCAGCACGAATTGTATCGCATACAAAGAAATCTGACCACATCACCCCAGTACTTAAATAACTCCACTGACTTCCTGTGAGTGACCGAATTGACCACAAAATTAGCTCCCTGCTGGACAGCTGTATGGAAGTCTCTGCACCTGAATATCTTCTTTTTAAAATTATATACATGCATCCTTTCAGAAACTGCGCTCTTCAACACAGTCCTTACTGAGGGTTCCCCAGTGTGGATGGACATAGAAAGAAGTCATACGGAGTGCGCTCTTTTGAAGCTATCTTTAAAGTTATTCTACCAATTCAATGGAAGCAAATGCTTCACAAAGTTGATCTATAGATGGCTTCTTAAAACTGGTGAAGGATGAGAATACAGAAATGGAGTACTAAATTGAGTTTGAAAGTATACCAATGCCATTCAAGCTAATGTTTAATGCGAGCGTCTCTTCAAGCACAAAATGCAGACCATGTGAGACTTTGACTTCGCACTGAAGGAAGGTGGCTCTCCAAAGGGAACTGCTTGAAAAGATTCATGGAACCATTTAATACTCTTGGTTACTTTGTAAGGGAGAAACCTGTAGTACCTGTTAACAGTTGATAGTAAAGCATGTGTGAGTTATTTAGCCGATATATTTGAACAGCTAAATATATTAAATAAACAACATTAAGGAGCAAATAAAACTCTCTTCCATGCAAAAGCGAAAATATTTGATTTCCTTACATTTACTGAATTATGTCAGAATTATGTTTGTAATATAAGAAAAATGAAAGTTTCATTGACTGGAAAACTGGGAAGTGACTGAAACCGATGTACTTCTTTTTGTCGATCATATAAAATTTTGGTCAACTTTGGTCAAAGATTATATGATTTAAAACTAATTGATTTTTAAACTTGGATGATTCAGCCATTGTTAGTGAATTTTTGTGATATTTCAAACATGAAAGGTCAAGAAGAACTCGCAGAAAGGCAAAATGATGAGTCTGTTGAACATTTATTTAATAGAAAAGTAGCGATGGCTTGGCTTCATGAGGAATCAGAAATGAAATTTCCAAATTCGACCAAATGTACAAGACAGCTATTGTTACCGTTTCCATCTTCATATTTAGCTGAATGGGGATTTAGTGCCATAAGTCACCGCGGGGAGACTTGAGACTGAAGCTATTTAATTTGTGGCCTAACATAAAATCTCTCTGCAGCAAGCATCAGGCGCAAGTTTCTCACTAAATCTCTCATTGTATTTTACAATTATTAAATAGTGAATAATGAATGAAACAATAGATAATTAAAACATTTTCCTAAAACATATAGTTTAGTTTTCTTGCAGTGAACAATTCAGTTTTTGATTATTAAAATTATGTATACATTACAAGGGGGGCATAAGAATTTTAGAAAGTCTTGGCTGGGGGATGGCATAATAAAGGTTGGGAAACACTGGTCTAAGTAATTTCGACCTAAACTCAATTGAAATCACCATTTTAAAATTTTGGGCGCAATAAACGTACAGATCTAAAGCGGTTCTGAATCATAAAATATGTTATCACTTTGACAATGTCCACAGCTGTAATCTCATCTACCGAAGCGACACTGAGATGCACGGTGACAGATGAGTTGTAGAATGTACTTTTATCAAATCTGAAACACTTTTATTACAAATTTATTTTTCTAAGTCTCATTTTATGAATGAGTAATCTGAAGCCGACAAGTTTAATTGGAAGTCATTTCAAGACACGTTCAGACTTCCTGCATAAAATGATATGCAAATATGACCTTGACCCACCGTACCCTGTCTACCCTTTACACATGCTGTTAAATCAGTGCCAATAATTTATTATAATAAAGTCAAATTTCTTATACCGTACAAGAACCGATATTAAGTTGTATAATTATATTTGCATTCAACTTTGAGACTTGACATAATCTCCTACCGAAAGATTCCATGTGAATTAACTCACCAGAAAAGTGTTGAACAGTTTTATTTTATTTGATCTCCTAATGTGTTTAAGAAACCGAATTATTTAATTTTTTGTCATTCAGAGCTTAAAGTGGTTGCTGATACGTTAATTAAGTTTAAACAGATATATTCTTCAAACTACAGCGTATTTGACAAGCGCTAATGTCAATTGTGGCTACGGATCACAGGACGAAACAGTCAACTTTCATTGACACAATCTTAAATCTCAGCTAAGGATGGTATCCATTCGCTCAACTAGAGGGTTATTGAATTTGTTAGTACACTTAGAGTTTTGATGCGTATTCCATGTCATATTTAAGAGTATAGGTGTGCTATTTAAAAAAACGTTTGGCTTGTAATAGCAGACGTTCCAACAGTCTGCTGTTGTAATAGTGAACAGCTGGCTTTGTATAGCACATATTTCGACAGTCTGCTGCTGTCATAGTGAACAGCTGCCTTGTTATAGCAGACATTCCTACAGTTTGCTGTTGTAATGGTGAACATTGGGCTTGTTATAGGAGACGTTCCAAAAGTCTGCTGTTGCAATAGTGAACAGCTGGCATGTTATAGCAGACACTCCTACAGTTTGCAGTTGTAATGGTGAACATTTGGCTTGTTATGGGGAGACGTTCCAAAAGTCTGCTGTTGTAATAGTGAACATTTGGCTTGTTATGGGGAGACGTTCCAAAAGTCTGCTGTTGTAATAGTGAACATTTGGCTTGTTATGGGGAGACGTTCCAAAAGTCTGCTGTTGTAATGGTGAACATTGGGCTTGTTATGGGGAGACGTTCCAAAAGTCTGCTGTTGTAATAGTGAACATTGGGCTTGTTATGGGAGACGTTCCAAAAGTCTATTGTTGTAATAGTGAACAGCTGGCATGTTACAGAAAACATTATTTTATTTAAATACAATCTTAAAACAATAACGTTACATTCCAGGAAATTAATGGAGTCCAGCTCTTAATAATTGCTACAGATTTCTATTTGTTAACGTAGGCCTGACAAATTTTGGCCGAATTCCTAGATTTGGCCGGGTTCCTAAATATGGCCACATTGCTAATTTTGGCAGAATTCCCAACGTTGGCCTAATGTCTGGTTTTGGCCACAATTCTAACTTTGCTGAATTCCTAAATTTTTACTAATTCCTAAAAAATTTGACCAAATTCGTATTTTTAGATAATTTCTGTCTCATCAAAAATGGACTTTGTTTCCATCTTCACGTCTCCGTATTCCTAATGTAAAGCAATCTCACTTGTGTCCTCTGAAGTATGTTTTTGAATCAATTGATATAGCAAATTTATGTTATTAGAAATATTGAGATATTATGGAGCCGTTAGCTAAGGTGATTCCATTGTTAAATATAGGGCATTAGAAATCAGATTTTCTTACTTTGTTCCAAACTCTTGTCCTTTAACGAATGCCAACGTTAAAACTTTTTACGCAGAGAACATTTGAATAATGGGGACATTTATTTAAAAACCTATGGTTTGAAATGTCGAAAGATCAAATAACTTAATTAAAAAATTAATTGTTGCGTTGAAGAAAGATAAAATTCCTTTTTTAAATCTAGCGAGTGTCTTTGAAATCATCCGCCGATCTAAGTGAACAATGCTACGACCAAACTTCTCATCTCCTGAACTGGTCATCGTCGATTTTGGTTCTGACCTGCTTAGCGAGTATTCCAGGCAAATCTTTGATGTCTTCAACTACGTTTTCCTATGCACCATCTTCGCTGTGTTTGGTATCGTGGCCAACATCATTAACATTGCAGTCTTCTACAAACAAGGGCTGAACTCCACCGTCAACATTAGCTTCACGGGTCTGGCCATCTCCGATCTCTGCAGCCTGGTCACGCTCCAGTGGTTTAACATCTGCGCCAATCCTTACTTCATCAACTCGGGCGTCCCCATGGTGCCCTCTGAGGTCCAACACCTGACGGGTGGATTCCCTCACGCCTGCTTCGCCAGGATCACGTGCTGGATCACCGTGTACATCACAGCCGAGAGGTGTCTGTGCATCGCCATGCCGCTCAAGATCAAACAGGTGATAACGCCTAGGAGGTCCACCCTCATCATCTGCTCCATCTACATCCTGATGATATCATCCCTGATGCCGGAGTACGCCACCATGTACATCGGCTGGAAATACTACCCCAGCAAAAACCAAACCCTCCTCGGATTGATTCCCACGGAGGACAACAAGAAGGTATCGGGGCTGACATTTCTTCTCTACGCCGTCTACATCGTGGTATCGTTCTGCGCGGTAATCGTGTTCACAACTGTCTTAGTCGTTAAGCTCAAACACAAAACGGAGTGGAGAAAAGAATCGACTTTCGACGCCAAACAATCGGATACCATCTCGAGCCGTGACAAGAAGACGATAAACATGGTGATAGTTATCGCCAGCGTGCTGATCGTCTGCTTCACGCCGTCCGTTCTACTCAGTGCTGCCGGGTTTATTGAGCACGACTTCTTCGTCGTTGGCAAATTCGCCAACCTTTTCTTTGCCACGTGGTCCTTTGGGTTCGTGTTCGATTCCTTCAACTCAAGCGTCACGATTATACTGTACTACAAGATGAGCTCGAAATATCGGCGCACCTTCCACGACCTGTTTGGCACATGCTGTAGTAGTGGAACAGAAGATGGTGTGGGTGACCAGAAGGTGGTTGGTGGTAAATCATCCAATTAGCATTGGTGTCACTAGTTCTAACAGTTCATTTAATTTTTTGTAATACTGAAATTGTTCGTTTGGCACGATTGAAATAACACACACTCGACAATAATCGTTGTGTTCAGTGTCAACTAACTGTTTTCTTCTGTCCACATGAAAGAGACCATGAAAAAATTGATTTATCATATTTAATAGACCTTGACGAAATGACGAGTATATGGTTTTAGTTTATATTTTTTCATTCAAGTAATATATTAGGATTATGGACAACTACTTTTTCATGGCTGAATTTTCATGCGTAAAGATAAAATGTGATGTATCGTAACTGTAACTATTCATTTTGTGTGTGATTGACACACAGTGATATATAAATAAATCTAAATCGGATGTCAAGTCAGCTGTCAACTCTTACTGCCACTCTACACAATGTCATTTCAAGACAAATTTTACACACTATGCACTTCATTTCTACGTAACACAATAACTCCTCCTTGGAACAATATTAATTTTTTTTTTTTTAAATATCAGCAACATCACGTGATAAGCATCTCCAAAATCTACAAACACTTTTTATACATTGATTAAACAAATGCACAGCAGTTTTTTTCAATATGTCTGCTCTCATCTGCTCACTTCCGTCTCATGGAAAATCCTCCTGCCCATAAAATAAGCCCCTACCTTTGGTAGCACTGCTGACATGCTTTTTCTCAGATATTCCCGTGTGCTCACAATTACGATTCTCGATTACAAAAAGCATGTGTTAGTGTAACAACGGTAGCCATACCTTGTCTTACTCAATGTTGACTGAACCATGTGTCAGCTGTTATTGTGTTAGTTAAATTTAAATGAAGTCTGAATTTGTATCACTGGAAAGAGAGTGATAGTCATGTTTATACAGAATGCGCCTAATGTATGTACTTCGAAGACAAAAGCTCAGATGCATCATTTAAAACGTTCGTGGTGCATTGACCAATTGCGGAAAGGGAAGGGGGGATATGGCGAGTATTTAAGTATAGGTATGTATTCTCTCACCATTATAAATTCCTAAACGGTCTGCCTTCCTAATACCCTTAGCGTATTTTTGTATACAAGGGTAAAATAATACTCTTTGCAAATGGCGCGTGTGTGCTGTTATACATCTTTGATGGCACTAAAAGTCTTCACTGTTCTGGGACAGTCCCAATCCATCTTCCTTTCCTCCAATGGCATTTCACTGTGACTCTCTGGTTTGGACTAGGGGGTCGAAATCCGGGATCCCGACTTTTGAAAATACCGGACCATAATTGATGTTCAAATAAAAACCGGGATTGGATTTATGAAAACCGGGATTTTCGATAATCCCGGGATTTCATTTTCAATTTTTTTTTTAAATCTTTTTTCTTAGTTTCCACGTATTAGTTAAAGCAAGTCATATCAATAATTTCTGAGATGTGCAAATCCCTAACACCACGTGTCTCAAGTTCAAAGAGAGCCGACCGACGGGCTAGATCTGTGTCCTCTTATTTGACAAGAATCATGACGTTGTGATCAGTTTTGTTTTTGCCTCATGCGTGTGTAGGGTTGTCATAGCCAGCTGGGATCTCGTCGGGACACTCTGAGAGGGGGTAGTAAAAATGAAGTAAAAAAATTATTTCATATAATTACTAATAAGGTCCATAACGGTGAAGGTCCCGATATATCGGGACGTATGGCAACCCTATGCCTGTGTAGTGTGTAAGTGGAGACGAGTCACGATGTGAAGGTACAGGATTGTTAAGTAAAAGTTTTCAATTATTGACAAATAAGTGATTGGTATAGTCGAAAAAACATCGAATTTTGATTTCCATTAAGAGTTTTTAGGGAAATAATAACACGTTGCACTCAAATCACGGGGTACCCTTTTAACAACAAACATGATTAATTGCTTGATTTCTTTTAATTATGCCCAAAAATCTACATATTTACAAAAGCAGTAAATCCATATTTTGATAATCAAATATCGTAAGTTTAAGACGCAGAAAAATCATTTAACTTCTATTTTTTGATAACAATATTAATAATTTACATTCACCTCATAATTGATTTTCGAGCTATTTTATCTTAGGCTGATTGTCCATGTTTGTCCGTATCGTACCTAGCCGATATTTACATATTGAATGTCCCAGTTTGTCTGTACCGTACCTAGCCGATATTTACATGACTGAATGTCCCAGTTTGTCTGTACTGTACTTAGCCAAACATTTCCATGAAAATTTAAACATTAAAAAAAAGGTTTACACGTCAAACCAATTCGATTGAATTAATAATTTTATGTTAATGATTTATTTTCCATTCAGTTTGATAGAAAGAAATGGGGGAGCCCTGAAAAATAAACCTAAATTTGAAAAGCATTTGAAACTATCGGAAACAAAGACATCAGTTTGGCATTATTTCTTGAAAGCTACGGACAATCTCTCAGCTAAATGTATTAGATGTAACAAGACACTTAATACATTGGGAGGTACAACTTTAGGCCTTGACTCTCATTTAAAGCCTGCACATTCCAGTGACTACTTGGACGTTTTTCTAAGGCCAGATTGCCACCAGATGCGAAAACATATCATGGATATTCAAAAGCTTGGTCAGACAGTGGATTTCTAGTTAGAATTTCTACGAACAATGAAATTGAACATCTTGGATCTGAGCATGATGAACTTGAAGAAACACAGCCGCTTAAGAGACAATTAGAAATTGAAATACAAAAGAACTTCAGGCTCTGAATAATACTTCCAGACCAACGGATGGAGACATTGATACATTGTTAAAAATAGACGTGGCCTTATTTGAGCATGGCGTTCAAGAGGACAATATCTAGAAATTGCTTATGATAGCCTAAGAACTATTCCTCCGACAAGTGTGGAGTCAGAGCGGGGGTTCTCTTCGTCAGGTTACTTTTGTAACAATTTGCCGTCAAAGTTAAGTGACCAAACATTAGACATGTTGTCATTTTTACGAGTTCATTATTTAAATTTGACCAAAGATTAAAACAACACCAATTATTTTAATATTTCATTAATAAAACTATTTAAATTAAAAAGTAAATAATATTAGTTTTGTTCCTTTGATTAAAGTCTGAAGTTAAACATTTGTGTTATTGTTAAAAGCTTATAAAAAATAAAAATGTGATATTTTTTCTGAATGTTTTTATTTCATTGATAAATTCTCACCACTAATCTCAAATCTCGACTAAAAATTCTCTCAATATTGAAAATATCGAAAATACCGGGATTTCGGTATTCGTAAACTTCATTATCGAAAATACCGGTTTTGGCAAAAGTGACCGGTTTTGTGACCCCTAGTTGGGACGCACATGCCACTTTGCTAGAAAAAACCTTAGGATTCAATCACTTTTGCCATTCCAGGAAGTTAAGTTGAAGGTTAATATATATTTTTTTCCAACAAGAGCAGACAACAGCGTTTAGCCTTGCCTTATACTTTGAGCTCATGTTATAATATAAGAATATGTTAACGCTTGAGTTTACAGCCTCAAACAGGAAACCGAAAGACCACGTTGCGAAGAACAGGTTCACGTAACATCCGGTCACGCTGAAGTTGACGTCGAAGAACGTGTACGCTGACAGGGCGAGTGCAGGCGTGTAGCAGACAATGAGGATGGTGGCGATGAGAATCACCATCTTCACGATCTTTCTCTCCCTCTTCGACACCATCTTCAACTGGTGAGTGTTGGGGTTCGCGTCTGCCCGCCAGTTCATCTGTTGGTGAAGCTTGACCACCAGAATTGTCGTGAAGGTGATCAGACAAACAAACGACACAATGCCGAGCACTGTCGTCAGGAAGAAGGACACTCCTTCGACGCTCTTCCGGTTTTCTCTAAACTCTAAACTAAGAAAAGTTACGTTTTTCCCGGTGACAAATGTCCAAGCCAAGTAAGCTGAAGAGAACTCCGGGACAAGGGAGATGATCATAACCATATAGATGCCAATTATGATAACGGTTGTCTTCCTTGGTGTGATGATGTCCTTGACCTTCATGGGCATGGCTATACAGAAGCACCGATCTGCCGTGATGTAGGTCGTGATCCAGCTGGTCGTGTTGGCGAATGAGCCCCGGGGCCAGGCACCCGTGAGGTACTGGACGTTGTCGAGCGGTAAAGCGTTGGTGTCGAGGAGGAGCGGGTTCATGCACAGGCTGAACCAGGCCAGGGTCAGGAGGCTGCAGAAGTCGGACAGGGACAGAAGGAAGAGGCTGATGTTCACGGACGTGTTGACGCCATCTTTAAGAAACACCGCCATGTTGATGACGTTGGCGGCCATGCCGAAATACGAGACGGCGCTGCACAGGATGACGTAGACGGCGACCTCGATGACCTTGCGGGCAGCATCACTGACGAAATCGACGGAGTGCTCACACGACATCCTAGTCGCCTGGGTGTCGTTGTCGAGCAGAGTCATCGAAATGACCGGTGTGACGTCACTGAAGTCTAGACGACAGGTTTAGGCGTGTGGCGTGTGTATAACGCTTTAAGAATCGTGTGAGAGCCCACGAGCGTGGTCAAATCTGCTGTGCAAACTCTTCGATCTTAAAGGTTTCATTGGTTATAGGTCAGTTAACGCAGCAGGAGCCATTTAAGGAATTTACGTGTTGTTGTTTTTTTTGTTTAATCAGTTCTTCAAATAAATGTGTATATTACGCTTCTTCTTTTCATTAACATATCAGTGGTCTGCATAAATAGTTTTTTTTCTCTTTGTGATTTTTTCTATGCTACAATGGATTTCTCAGTGTATAAAGTTAAAGCTTCAATCACCTTTTGATAGTGTTTGTTGCGCTACAATTTCCTCCGTAAAATCGATCCATTGGTTGTGAGTTCCCTTCATTAAGATTACTCCAACACATAGAGACCATCTGCACAAATAGACCATCTCCACATAGAAGCCATCTCGAAATAGAGACCATCTAATATGACCATTCCTCGTGTATTTGCCAACTTGTTAACATTAGAAATAAAGCCAAGAAGAATAAATGCACACAGAAACGTTTGCGTGTCATTGCTAAATTGGTAAGGAAACGCCTTTTGAAAGCTGATTTATTGCTTGGCGGCTGGTTGAATCACGTGCCCGTCACCGCCATTGTTTGTGATGACTGTTTCAGCTTATTTAAGAACTGATTACACTTTGACCCAATCGTTGTGATTACATACTCACAATTTTAGGAGGTTTACTCAAACCCTAAATTATGGTATCATCTGCAACCCTTAAAAGTTAGATTTTAATGTATTCTTAAGGATAATTTTTTTCAAATTTGACTTTATTTGCCCATGGCAAGAATTAAATTTCTGAAATGTTAAGTAGCCAAGTGAAAAGAATGGCACATGTTATTTAATTATTTTCTGATGGTCTGATTCCTTTTTTCTTTCCTGTCGTTTCATTGGAGCCAACATTTGATGAAAACAAGTTCAAGGGTCGCTCTGTGACAAGAAACAAAGGATGCCGTGTATTAGTCACTGAATGACTTTAATAAGTTATTCGATATAATAATTAGTACCTCATGGGCAGAACAATGGTGCAATCAATTCTTGTATGTGCCACTGTTATTAAAGTTGACTTGGTTTTTTTTGTTTTGATTTTTTTTTTGGAGTGAATACAAATTTAAAAGAGAACAGAGAAAGATTTGTTAGGTAGTCATTTAGCATGTGATCGCAAGATAATATGATTACTAACGCTATATTGGACTTAACAGCCATGTTCACAATGTATACCGTATACAAGGTGGCCGCAGTCTGACGAACTATTCTTCTTCTCTCGATTGAGGTTTGCCTGAGATAAACACAGACCATGGTTTCTCCTATCAATATTTAATCGTGTCTTTAATAACGGGTTGGATCCTGTGTTTAAAATAGAACCATCAAGTCACGTGGTCTTTCTTCCCAATCACATCGCTGGCATCAATTAAAAGTCCATCAAATTGTCTCCAACCCCTTGTTGCGATTTTATTATTTATGCAATTTTATTTGTTTCCCCGACATTTGAAAGGGTTATTGAACTTGTAGATGAAAATGCAAATTATATCTATAAACGTTAAAGAGATGTCTCACAGCGGTTGAGGTCAAATAGCCAGACCACGCCCCCCCCCCGGACCACGCCTTCAGACCACGCCCCCAGCTCCCATTCCTTTTCCTTAGGTTGCCTACGCTGGTAAAGGTATTTCATGAACCAACTGGTCCGTTCGTTTTAAGGCTTCCCCAACTTACCCCTGTTTCAGGACCAGATGACGACCACGCCGGCGGAGAATCCACTGCGTTAAGGACAAACTCAAAGTCCACAACATGAACCTGCAGCGGTCCTTACCTCTTGAGGCTGGTCGCCAACTGTATCTCCCCAAAAAGCCTACCGGTTAGGAGCAGGCAGAAGAAGATGAGAAAGAAGAATGAGAGACTGTTTAAAAAAAAAAAATTAAAATCTCAAATAATTGTACTATCTTGTGTAACTAAATTTTTCTTCTGAATCTTTTTATTGGTATCTTGGCAGGACTGCCTCAATACTCAGTTGCTAATATGACTTATTATGCCACATATTTGTGAACTGTTTAGATTGTTTCAACGTTATTTTCGGGAGCAGCACTTACCACTATTTGCGCTGAATTTTAAAATTATTTCACAAAATCTAGTAAAGGGCAGCTACTCTTCTTTTATTCCCATGCATCGCGGTTAAAGTGGTTTCCTCCCCTTTGTGATGGAGAAGCCTTGGAAAAATATTGTTATTGAAAACATCTGGATAAATCATTCAAATATTTCAATATGGAAACATCTTTGTGTTCGTTTCTAAATTCTAAGTCAATTCTAAAACAGCATTATTCCAAATTTGGAATGTCAAATGACGTGAGTGTACATTACTTTTGGATCAAAAGGATTACTTGCTTGCGGCAATGTAAATAACAAGGACATTAAGCTAAAACGAAAACTAAGTAGGATTTTCTAAAGAATTTATGTGAACTGATTTGAAAAAGCTTTGGTTTCACACAGATATTTCAAGTGCAAATATTCAAAGTAATTTTTTTCATTTTAAGAACTAAAAAAAAATTGGAAGACCCTAACAGTTACACCACAACAACTACACCGCAACCACTATACCACAACCATAAAATCACAATCACGCAACCACTTCGGCATGGCAACTACATCACCCTCACGATCACTGCAACAAAGCCATTACACTACAGCCACTATACTACATTACTATGCTACAGACACTAAACCAAAGGCCCTACACCACGGGTCATAAACCACACGCTCTAAACCACAGGCCCTACACCACATGCCCTACACCACAGGCCCTACACCACATGCCCTACACCACATGCCCTACACCACATGCCCTACACCACATGCCCTACACCACATGCCCTACACCACATGCCCTACACCACACGCCCTACACCACATGCCCTACACCACATGCCCTACACCACATACCCTACACCACATGCCCTACACCACATGCCCTACACCACATGCCCTACACCACATGCCCTACACCACATGCCCTACACCACATGCCCTACACCACATGCCCTACACCACATGCCCTACACCACATGCCCTACACCACATGCCCTACACCACATGCCCTACACCACATGCCCTACACCACATGCCCTACACCACATGCCCTACACCACATACCCTACACCACATACCCTACACCACATGCCCTACTGCATATGCCCTACACAATAGGCCCTTCACCATGGCCACTATACCACAACCTCTACACTAAGACTGAGGAATATGAGTTTATCTCACAAATGTATAGTCTATCTTACTTGAAAGCTTAAGCTGTGGGTCTGATACCTTAACCTGTGGGTCGGATAGCTTAACCTGTGGATCGGATAGCTTAACCTGTGGGTTGGATAAGTTAACACCTGTGTGGGATAGTTTTCACTATTGGTAGGATAGGTTAATCTGTGGGTTTAAATAGTAAACCTGTGGGTTGAAAAAGTTAACCGGGGGTCGGATAGTAAAGATGTGTTGCTTAATTTTAAACTGTATAAGATTTTTTTAGTTTCGCTTTTAATGGGATTTTTACCAGCGACTCTTCCACGGTAACATTGTCTTGCTAGTAAATGTTATAGGAACAAATTTTGAAAAATGGTGACATTGTCTTGCTAGTAAATGTTATAGGAACAAATTTTGAAAAATGGTGACATTGTCTTGCTAGTAAATGTTATAGGAACAAATTTTGAAAAATTGTGACATTGTCTTGCTAGTAAATGTTATAGGAACAAATTTTGAAAAATGGTGACATTGTCTTGCTAGTAAATGTTATAGGAACAAATTTTGAAAAATGGTGACATTGTCTTGCTAGTAAATGTTATAGGAACAAATTTTGAAAAATTGTGACATTGTCTTGCTAGTAAATGTTATAGGAACAAATTTTGAAAAATGGTGACATTGTCTTGCTAGTAAATGTTATAGGAACAAATTTTGAAAAATGGTGACATTGTCTTGCTAGTAAATGTTATAGGAACAAATTTTGAAAAATGGTGACATTGTCTTGCTAGTAAATGTTATAGGAACAAATATTGAAAAATGGTGACATTGTCTTGCTAGTAAATGTTATAGGAACAAATTTTGAAAAATGGTGACATTGTCTTGCTAGTAAATGTTATAGGAACAAATATTGAAAAATGGTCACATTGTCTTGCTAGTAAATGTTATAGGAACAAATATTAAAAAATAGTTATTAATTTTATTGCAGACATCTGACGGCCTTCACTGTATGTGAGTCAAGAGAGTTGCAACATTATGTGCATATTTCTTCTTGATGTTGTATGACGTTTTTTGTAAACCTTGATGAAGATTTCAATATAGTTGAAATTCAGTTGGTATATGATCCAATTTATTTTGAAGTTTTAAGTTTAGCAAGTAGTGCAACTAAAGTTGGGTTGTTTTGTTTTTTTTTTTTTTTTTTTTTTTTTTTTTTTTTTTTTTGTTATGGCCTGTGGTGTAGGTCATGTGGTGTAGGGCCTGTGGTGTAGGGCCTGTGGTGTAGGTCATGTGGTGTAGGGCATGTGGTTTAGGGCCTGTGTGTGGTAGGTCCTGTGGTGTATGACCCGTGATGTAGGGCCTATGGTTTAGTGGCTGCAGTATAGTGGCTGTAGTATAGTGGCTGTGGTGTAATGGCTAGGTTGCAGTGACCGTTGCCATGACGTAGTGGTTGTGTGGTTGTGATTGTATGGATATGGTACAGTGGTTGTGTTGTTTTATTTACACAATGTAACTGTATGCTTGGCTGGGGGTGTCTAATTTTTTCGGAGCCAACACATATTATTGTAAATTGACTATTCAAGCAAATTCAACCAGAATAATCCATTTGATCAACATGGGAGTTTCATCTACATGGTGGTTTCATCAAGATGG